GGATCGCTAACAACAACAACAACAGCACGGGAGTCAAAGATGCAAAGACGGACACAGGATGACTGCCCGACAGTTTGGTGGTACACAGTAGGAAAGTTCCGTATGGTACCATTTGTGTCTTTAGATCCCCACATTTCCATGTAACCTAAGGCAAGTTTGAGTAAAGCAGGCATGGGCAAGCATGTCCAAGTCACAGGCCTAATTAACCAATTCCGGACTATCGTATCCATACGACGAAGGTAACTCTGCCACCACTTAACCTTATCTGTATGTCACGTTTTACTATCGTATCCATACGACGTGGGGAGCTCTGTGCCACCACTTCCAAAGAGGAAATTGACCTGTTAATCTAATCCGTACGCTTTGCATAGCAGTCTGTCAAAACAATTTTTTGAGAAATTATTGAAAGTTTCAACGAGATCTTCGTACTAGAAGTATTCTAAAGGTGAAGAATACAACCCCAGGGGTAGAAAATGACCCCAGGGCGTACGGATAGGGTTAAACAATTCCGAATATCTCGTGGACCAATGCAGGAGGGAACTGGGCAAAAACAGTTGAAATACTCAGGCTCTCAAAAGCAAAGACTAAAACTGACTTTAACAGCACATGTCAATCAAGAACATTTCATACAATTCAAAATAGAATGTTAGATTGAATTGATTCCTTTCAGCTAAGCCAAAAACTACTCATTTTAATTTTCAAGATGGGTAGTTTTGTTTTAATCATTACCAATTCAACACGGGCCACATTCATCAGGGATGCCCTTTTTTCGGTTAAAACCGGAAATCCGGGTTTTTAGCGATTTTCCGGGGCCTCCAGTTTTTAGCGTCCGATCCTCCGGTAAATTCTCCGGTCGGCCGAGAGTTTAATTCTGGCCCGTTGCCAAGAGCGAAAAAATGTGATACGATTCGAGTACGAAGAGTCCACTGGTGGATTTCCAGTTGTGAATTAAAAAAACCGGAGCTAGAGAATTCCTCTGTGCAAGCGCAGTCATTGTTTTGATTAGGCCAAGCCATCTCTCCCACCGTGATACGAACGTCGTAGTTCTATCTAGATTACAGATTACAAAGACAGTCAAGAAGAAACGTAGTCAACATGTGCCTTTGATTCATTCAAGAAGGAATACTTTTTCAATTGGATTTACTGTTGTGCAGCATGTTCCTTCTATCAAGACTGTAGATCTAACGGAAGAAGTGAAGAATGGATAACGTTTTCATTGTGCGTGGTCACACTTGTGTAAAGACGTTGGACAAAGGTCTGATAAACAAATTCAAATGAGAATGGCTGCAAGAGAAAGAGGCACCCGAGTTTGGTGGTGGATACTATTCGGACTGTTTCAGGAAGCTGAAAGAGGCTGGCGCAGTATACTGTGTGTTCTGTGAGGACAAAATTAAGTATGGGAGCTCAGGAAAAAAAGCCCTGTCTGATCATGTGAAACGCCCAGCACACGTGACAAAGATGAAAGAGAAAAAAAGGGAGAGGGCGACACAGCCAGCTCTTGCTTCCATATTCAAGAAACTGAAGTGTTTAGAGGAAGGCAAATCGGAGCCCCCACAACAAGAACTTCCATATGGGACTCCTGAAAATGTCCTTACAGCTGCACAATGCTCATCTCAATCTCAGACGCCTCAACAACCAATGCCCACATTAATAAGCATGGCTGACTGAAGATCACATGAAGAGGGCCTCATCTGTAGTTTCATTGCAAAGCACTCTCTGCCACTGTCACTTGCCCCCCATTTAGTTTCTTCGGCCCAAGAGCTGTCCAGAGATCACAAAGCCCTGAAAGAATTTAAGTTGGGATGAACATCTGCCATATGCAAGCTCAAAGTGGGTGTGTCAGGAGTTCTCAGGAAACGTCTTGTAAGCACCATGAAACAAACACCATTTTCTGTCAACATTGACGAGAGCACTCTGAAATCAAACAAGAAACGTGTTCTGAAAATTTTAGTCTGCTACTTCAGTGAAGAGTTAGGTAGAAGTGTAACACACCTGTATGCATCAGTGGAGATGACAGTGGTGAACGCTGACACTGTGTATTCAGCAGTGATAAACAAATTCAAGGACGATGACATTCCTTTAACAAATATAGTGTCAGTCTTGTCCGATTCTGCAGCTTATATGCGTGGCAGCAAAAATGGGTTTCAAGCCAAGTTGAAGGAATCTGCGCCTGAGATTCGAGATATTGATGGTGATGTTTGCCATCATCTTCACAACATTGTGAAAACATTCATGACACATCTCGATCCAGAAAATTACACTGCAAAGCTTCTTGGAGACATACACAGAGACTTTTCTCTCAGTGCTGATCTTCATGATGATATCTGTCAGATATCTTCTCTATTTGAAAAGCCTCCCCTTCTTCCAATTGAATTTGCTGGACACCGATGGACGTCTTTGATGGATGCCACCTCTCGACTACTGGACATCTTGGACCAGATCTCTTTGTTTTACTTCGCCTGGGCACCACAAAACAAAAAAGAGAAGTACTCAAAGATTGTAACAGAAATCAGGAAGAAACTGCCTGCATGGAAAAGGTGTCTGATCTTCAGCATGTTGAGAAAGCTCAAAGCAAAGAACCTGACTATGTTTGGGAAGGCAGGGAAAAGCAGAATTGTGTGCAAGGTCTTTGAGAGTAGATCAAAGATGCGGTTTCTCTGCAAAGCTATCAAGTTTCTAACACCCCTGTTCAAGAACTGTATATTGGCACTACAGAAAGGAACCCCCCAAGTGCACAAGCTGTATGACAAAATTCTGGAGGCCTTCACACAGTTTCTAGCCTGTTATGTCAAACCTGAAGTCCTGAATGCTCCAAGATCCTCTGTTAAGTCAATAGATCTGGAAAACAAGGACCATTACCTTCTTTCCAAGCAGATGGCAGTGGGAAGTGAGAGCAGCTCTCTTTGAAAGACATGCCAGACTCAGACAGGAAGTTAATGTTAGAGAAAGTC